GTTCGCTAAATGGGCTGCATGGTACCGCCCGGCCCGGCCCTTTACCAATTTCTATGAAACATTTGTATTGGCCTCATATTTTGGAAGCCCATTTTGATGAGAGTTTTTTTTTTTTTTTTAGGCCTCAAAATTAGTAAAAAAACGCTCAAAATTAGCAAAAATGCCACATAATTAACAAAAAAATATTCCATAATTAGTAAAAAAGTATTATAATTAACAAAAATGTGTAAAAATTATTTAATAAAAATTATGAATGTCTAATAATTAGCAAAAAATAATAAAAGTTGCAATTTTTATTTTTTTCAAAAGGCCTCAATTTTTTTTTGTATTTGGCCCCGGATTTTACCGGACAGGTACTGGGTACCGCTTTTTAATTATTATTATATATATATATATATATATATATATATATATATATATATACATATTCTTAATAAAATATAACTTGTGAAATGTATCGTATTTTGAAGAGTTTTATGAGTAGAGTTATAATTTTTTGTAAGAATATAATATGTAAATGTATTCTTATAAATAAAATTCCTCTAAACCCTATCTAAATCTAAATACACAAAAGTAGTAGGGCATTAATAGATCTTTTTTTTTTTTTTGCTAAACTGTTAATATCATTAGAAGAAATGAAACTGTTTGGCTTTTACAAGAGAAAGCCTCTGGCTTTGTAAACCTTGGCAAAAAGATAAAACAAGATTTTCAAAATTGGGAAGTCACACAAATTTGGACTTTAGGATATCCAGAGCTGCATCAAGTCACGAAAACGTTTCCGGTGACGGCGCGCTGAGATAATGTTGCGGATCTCCCTGTTTATAAGATTGAAAATAGAGCCCGGAGGGAGAGAGACCTAATTATGGACCACGTTGTTTCGTTGCTTCCATAAATGGTAGATCGTTGCCTGCGCTGTAATTTTCCTTAAGATAGAAGGAACCGTATTTGAGGAAGCTCGAAGCCAAGAGAGAAGTTCTGCCCATGAAAGGAAACTAGGCCTGAGCGGATCAATTCTCTCGAGAACCAGTTTCCAGATTTCCGAGGAGAAGGCGCAAGTGATGAGAAGGCGATCTCTTGATTCAGACTGCAAAGAACAGAAAGAACAACTAGGCGAAGGGATGATGCCCCAGGAGAACATTCTCTGCTTTGTTGAAAGTCTGTTCAAGTGGGAAATCCACATATTGAAAGTTTGCCTTGGAACTGCTCCTTTAAACCAAACCTCAGAGTACCAATCAACCTCTTGCTTTCTCGGCCTAACAACATTCCAGGTTCTGGAGGTAGATAATTTCTTACTTTTAACTGCATCAACAACCCAAAAGTACTCATCCTGAGTATCAGAACCGGTAGGGACCTGGACTGTGGTTAAATGCGCATGTAGTCTTAAGGCAGCGTCTGACCTTGGTGAAGGGATGGTCCAGCAGGAACCATTGCAAGCATCAATAACCTTTGCTTTCAATGGAAGTCTTAACAGTGAGGGGCCAGCGGATCCCAGGCACTTAATAAGTGGTCCAAGAGGCGTCCAAGAATCATACCAGAAACTGATATTGCTTCCATCTCCCAGAGTTGCATTCATAAATTGCTCAGCAACCGGTCTCAACCGCAAGATTTCTTTCCATGTCCAGGAATCACGAATTGATTCTCTCAGCTCCCAAAAGCTATTAGATATGATATTATGATAGTTGTGCCAACTAGCCCATAGCGAATCATTTCCTGAAAATAAAGTCCAGATAAATCTTAAGCAAAGAGTTTTGTTCCAATCAGTGAACCTTCTCAGCCCCAAAGCTCCCTCTTTTTTGGGTAAACAGACAGTAGCCCATGCCACTTTTGCACCCTTACTGCCGTCAATGTTCCCAGCCCACAAGAATCTAGAGCATAGTGATTCAATCTTTTTTATGCAGCCTATAGGGAGGATAAAACTTGAAATCCAGAAGTTTACCACTCCATAAATGACGGAGGCAATCAATTGAGTCCTTCCTGCGAAGGATAATGTTTTAGTAGCCCATCCCCTGAATTTACCCGCAATTTGAGCCAAGAGAGGATCATATTCTAAAATCTTTAGCTTTCTATGCATGAGTGGCAAACCAAGGTAACGAATAGGTAGAGAAGCTGCAGGGAAGCCATGTCTCGCAATTGCATTTGATTGGAGGACGTTGAGACCAGCGTGGAAGAGGTGAGTTTTTTCTCTATTCATATGCAGCCCAGACCAAGAGGCGAAGTCAACAAGAGCCTCATTTATGCCGTGGAGGGATGCTTCAGAACCATCAAAAAATATCATGACGTCATCCGCAAACATCAAGTGAGAGAGTGAGATACCTGATGCTTTAGGATGAAAACTGATGTAACCTTGATCAAATCTGGAGTGAAGCAACCTGGAAAAGACCTCCATGGCCAGCACAAAGAGGTAAGGGGACAACGGATCGCCCTGCCTTAGTCCCTTTGAGCTCTTAAAGTAGCCACTTTAGTTGCCATTTAAACAAACTGAGAAGGTGGGAGTAGTTAAACATTCTGAAATCCAGCCAACAAAATTCTCAGGGACTCTTAAGGCTCTTAGGGCAGCGAGGATAAAATCCCAATTTACCGAGTCAAAAGCTTTCCTTATGTCGACTTTTAACATGGCGCGCGGTGAAATAGATTTTCTGTTGTATCCCTGGACAACCTCAGCTGCAAGTAAAACATTCTCAGCCAAAAGTCTTCCAGGCAAGAAAGCCGATTGGGAGGGAGAGATAACATGAGGAAGCAACATTTTCAGCCTTGAAGCTAAGAGCTTTGATATAACCTTGTATACTGTGTTTAAACAGGAGATAGGTCTGAAATCTGTCGTTCTTGCAGCATTAGGAGATTTGGGAATCAGAACCAGAGAGGTGGCGTTCCACTGCTTAAGAATTTTGCCAGATCGAAAGAATTCTAAGACCGCTTCAAAAACTTCATGACCAACAACACTCCAACAGCCCATGAAGAATTCAGCAGAATACCCATCTGGGCCACTCGTTTTATTTCTAGGCAAAGAGAAGAAAGCATCTCTTATTTCATCTTTTGTAAACATCTTGTCTAAGCACTGCTGCTGGGATTGAGAACATCTAAAGGGGAGCAACATGTCCATATCACTTTGAATCAGGCCAGAAATTTGTACCTCACCACCCAGGAGATCAGAGAAGTAGTCCACACACAATTTCCTTATACCTGCTTGAGATTCAATTTTTGCATTAATAGATCTTTATCTCATAGACCTAGTCATATCAAATATCACATATACAATTGTTTCTAATAATACTTTTAGAATTTAAGTAATTATATTTAGAAGCTATTTCGTGAAATTGATTTATATTCCCTGAAAAAGGATTTAGGTTTTCTCATATGTCATCTAGGGGGTCTTGCAAGTCTAAACCCATTGGGAATAAAAGAAAAAGAAAACTCTAGCTCGTTGTAGCTAGACCATGCATGTCTAAAATTGGATAAACAGCTCTATGCAGAATTATAATTTGTTTTTTTTTTTTTTTTTTAAATGGTTGTGTTGTAGTTAAGTGCATTAACTATGTTTACAAATGTCAAAAAGGCTAGTCGCAACCAACTCCATTTTCGGATTGCAGATTCTGCAGATCGGTCCCAAGACGCAGGATATTTATTTGGTATATTGATTACCTTTTGAATAATATACAAATTAGGGATCTTCCATATTCTCTTTTTCTTCTACGAATTTAATTCTCTTACTTATATTTTATTATCTTTCATCTAACCTTGGTATGTTTGTTAGCTTTCCTTATCAACATGACAATTTAGGAATGGAGACTAATTCGCATACTATCCATATCATTAATTAGATGAAAATCATGAAATATAGAAACTTTGGAAAACTAAGATTTGAATCTTGCATTTTTGTTTTTGCTGATTTTATTTTATTTTAATTTATTACACTTGAATGCACTTTAAATAATTTTAATTAGTTTGAACTTTAAATAGTTTTTCTAACATAGACTAAACTTTTATATTTTCTTCCAATTTCACCTTACTTTTTTGAAATCACAATTAAACCCTAACAATCATTTGTCCCTCTTGATAGCAGGGTTGCGTGCATGTGAGCGAGAAGTTTCGGCTACAAGCATCAGAGTTCAACGATTGGTTAATCTAATACAGTTGAATTTAATTGGTTTCAATTCAAACCCTCATTGTTTTGTAACAGCTTTTTTTTTTCTGTCTTGAATGTCACAGTGAAGACTTGAAATTGAACAGACCGGAGACTAACGTCACTAACCAATCACTGAACTGTGATGATTGTAAGAGAAAATTTGGGTACCAAAAATAATACTCTCTCTGTTCAGTACATAAGATGTTTTAAGCTTTTTCATTTGTTCTATTTAATAATATTTTCTCTAGTTTCTATGTATAATTTTTATTCATTTAATAGTTTTTGATTGTTTAAATCATACAATATTATTTTTTCTTATTAGTGGAATTTTTATAAATGAAAAAACATTTATTGTTTCTTAATTTTTGTATTTTTGCCTTTTTGGCCAAAACATCTAATATGGGATAGAAAGAGTATAGAAAACGGGCGGTGAACTAATTCAGATAATATATGTGAGTTAATATCACATTAGGGATCTAGCCCAAGTTAATAATTCTGTGTTCAAAACTTAGTATCTCTACTTGCATAGTTGCATGCAGTATTCTAATCAAGTTCGTTTAATCATATTCGACAAACCTTGTAAAAACAATTATAAATAACAAGAAAAACTTATGAAACGTCAACTACGTACAAAGACTTTAAAATATCGCAAACAAATTAAACATAGGTGAGATCATTTGATCATGACTCAAATTTAGATAAATCAAAGAATGATGTGTTAAAAGAATAAATGGTAGTATGATGTAAAGAAAATATATGCCTTTTTGAACAATAAATTATGGTTTGTTTGAGTCCTTTAAAGCATTTCATCATTTAAAGCATGTAATCATTTAAAACATTTAATCATTTATTGCAAATTTTAAATAGGAGATGGGGAAAACGAAATTAACAGAAAATGTTTTGTGTAAAGTGGTAGTTATAAGCTTAGAAGATCTTAAATCTCGGAAACTGAATAATGATGAAAATACTCACACACATGTATGGAAAAGAGTATCTACGAAATTTGATTGAAATGTCAAATGTCCACAGTATATATATGCATACCAAATTTTTACCATAAAACAAAACACACCAGATTTTCAGGAATTCACTATTACTAAAATATACCAAAATTTAAATTTATGCATTAAATACTCCTCTGTATAAATAAAATCAAAGGCCTACGAAACATACATTGGTTAAATTACACGAAGAAAGGAGAAAAACATAAGAAGAAGAAAGCAAAGATGAAAGCCGTTGCGATTTTATTGGTTTCATGTCTTCTTTTCTCCCTTCTCTCAACCAACCTAGCCAAAGGTATGATACTCATATTTTCATATGAAACCGGTTTATCAATAGCAGTTCGTTAACCAATCAAATCCCGGTTCAAAAATGTAAAACACGTACGATACAATCTCATTAACCAGTGTACTTATATTATTTGAATATGTACGCAGAGTTGGAGTGGTGCCCATCAAAGGACGTGTTCAATGGATCGTGCACAGACAGAGGAAGTCCAAGCTACACATGTTTTCTAGATTTGTTGGGATCTAAGAGTGCAAGTGCTATGCCTAAGAATTGCAAATGTACTCCTCTTCCTCACAACCATCGTCAATGCGACTGTTTTGTCATTTGCGGCAGCAATTAAGTTATTTTTTTCGATTCCTTGATTTATTATTAGGGTTTGGAGTTTTTTTTTTCCATCTGCAATAATGTTTTTTGAATGAGATCTCTTTGTAATCCACATTTAAAATAAGTAATAAAGTCTCAGTTTACAAAACAACAAAAAAAAAACTTTTATTAATTATCATCTATGTCAATAAGCATGGTATGTTGTTTTTTATCAATGAAAAGTCCAATCCATGTTTTATTTACCTATAATAATTTTACTTGAATCGTTTTATTTCGCAAATAGATTTACCTAGTATGTTGCATTTATAAGTTGTAACGTGTTTTGATTTTAATGGAGACAAAAAAATACATGATAGTAAAACTTAAATCTTTGAACTAACAAGTTCGGTCCTAAGATATACTACATGGTCTATTAAAATAACATTCATAGAACTATTATTATGTTACTTAAACAAATGTGAGTTTTATTCAACTAAGTCAATGAAAATTTGAAATTATTTCTTTTCATAAAGAAGTTGTTGTTTTTTATTTCTAAATTGCCTAAGTTTGTTACTAAAATAATATTTTTGACTAATTTTTATTCAAATTTACATAATGCATGTTATTGACAAAAAAATGTTGACCGAGCTAATGTCATTTTTCTTAGCTAGCTAAATCTAATTTGTTTGTGTAAGGCTAGTAAATGACTAATATACTTTAATTTTGTTTCTTTAATATCTTAATGTTTTTAAGGATACGCTGATGAAAGCTTATGCAACTTTGGTAAATCCTTTCTAACTTTAAGCATTACATTTTTTAAAACAATTAATGTTATACCATTAAACAGATTAATTGCCATGACTTTTTTTTCAATATTCTCTAAAATGACAAATATATAAATTTGGTCAAACGTTTACATTGTATTTCCAAAGATGTGAGATGCAAAGAAATTGAAAAATATCTATATATAAGCAATTTACAACTGAAACTATAACATACAATCTTTAAAGAAAAAAGAATAGTCAAGAGAGAAACAAAATATGAAGGTTGCGGCAATCTTTTTGGCTTCTTGTGTCCTTTTCTCTCTTATCCCCACCCACTTATCACATGGTAACAACACATTATATCATAATTAGATGCAAATATTTGCCCACCGTAAAGTACTGCGTGTGTTAAAAAAAAGTATTGATTCATATTACTAAGTCTATTTGTTTTTGTGACATTTTAACAGAAGAACCAACGGTTGCACCAACAGAAGAACTAATGTTTGCACCAATGAAGGAACCAAAGTACTGTCGTTCGAGACAAGTGTTTGATGGATCATGCACAGACAGAGGCAGTCCACGCATGACTTGTTTCCTTGATTTCTTGGGTGCACGAAGTGCAAGTGAGATGCCTAAGAACTGCAATTGTACTCCTCAGCCCAATAACAAGCGTCTTTGTGAATGTTCAGTTATTTGCACCGATTGTTGTATACATAATTAACACCTACTAATATGTTGTTATTTACTTAATTTTCAGCATATTTTCAATTATAATTAAATTTTGTCTCCAATAATAATACCTTAGATCTCATATTCAACTGTTAAATTATTTTAAGTGGTCATATTTTAGTTTTCTGAGATCATTCCGGCAACCACTCTGATTTACCTCAAAAGTATAATAACATCAATTTTTGGTTGGGCTAGAGAAGTTTTGTCTATCTAATAATAGATCCAGCGATTCAACACCACTTTTGGTGGCTTGATGAATTCGATTTCAGATATTAGTTAAAATAGCGTAATTCAAATTAAGTATTAAGAAAAATCAAAGATAGATAACTAGAAAGAACAATTCATAATAAAAATAATTTGTAAATAAATTTAAATAAATATCCTTTTGAAATCTTTAAACTAGATGATAAGACTAAAAAAAAAAAAAAAAAAATGATAAGACTACTCACACATGATCAAACGTTTTTGGGCGTAGATAGCATTTCTGATCACCTGAGTTATTAAAAAAAAAAGCAATTTAAACATCCCTTAAACAATAAATGGTATACCAAAACAAAGTAATTCCCATGACTTTTTTTCAATATACTCTAAAATGACAAAAAAAATATAAATTTGGTCAAATATTTACATTGTGTTTCCAAACATGTGAGATGCAAAGAAGTTGCAAAATAGCTATATATATAATCAATTTACAGCTGAAACCATATCATACAATCTTCAAAAGAAGAAAAAACTATTGTCAAAAAGTAATGTTAAGGCGGACTGCTTAACTTGTAAACTCTTCTCCTCCTAATTGGACAACTAAGTAAAAAGTTATTTTTTAATTAATGTATGGTTGACTAAAAAAAAAAGTCAAAAGAGAAACAAAATAAGATGAAGGTCGCTGCAATCTTTTTGGCTTCTTGTGTCCCTCACCCTCTGATCACATGGTAACAACAATTCATTATATATAATTAGATGCATATATTTGCCCACCAAAAAATACAATTTGGGTTAAAAAAAGTATTGATTCATATACTAATAGTCGATTTGCTTGCAACATGTAAAACTGAAGAACCAAAGGTTGCACCAATAGAAGAACCAAAGGTTGCACCAATGAAGGAACCAGAGTATTGTCGTTGGAAACAAGCGTTTAATGGAACATGCTCATAAAGAGGCAGTCCACGAACCATTTGTTTCTTTGACTTCTTGGTGCACGAAGTGCAAGAGAAAGGCCTAAGAACTGCGATTGTACTCCTCAGCGTCTTTGTGAATGTTCAGTTGTTTGCAATAAATAACACCTACTAATATGATGTTATTTACTTAAAATTTAGGCTCCAATAATATCGTAGATCTCATATACATACAGGGCCGGTCCTACAATATATGTGGCCTAAAGCATAATTGGATTTGAAAAAAAAAAAAAAATTAAAAACATCACCCATAGAGACTCAAACCTGAGATAAATTACTTTTCCAGTAAAGGTTTTGTCACTGGACTATTGAGACTTTTAAGAAATGTGGCCTCATTTTTTTAATTTATAATTTGTGGTCTAAAGCAAAGGCTTTAGCTGCCTTATGGACGGGTCGGGCCTGTATACATATGTTTAATTATTTCCGAGATCATTCCCGCAACCACTTTGTTTTACCTCAAAAATAATTCGCAGTTTTTTTCTGAAACTATTTCTCGTGAACATTCTGTTTTTACCTCAGAAACTGAATATTGAGATTTGGGTGCACAAGGTAACAAAAGCTTGTTGTCAGAGGTGAAACATAAATTGACTAAAATGTGTAGAACCTTGTAGCAAGCATTCAAATACTTTAATTTCTCTTGATCAGTGATTCCTTAAAATTTGTAAGTTACACATTTTGCAAGTTTGTTTATTTGAGCAAATGATTTATTATTAGATTTAGATTGTATGGAATTATGAGATAATGTGCTCACTAGATCCCTATTTCATATTTAGAGCTGAGAAATGTTAGATGTACAAGTCAGTGAAATACATAGACTCACTCATGGAGCATTACATATTATTATCAATTTTCCCATGGAAGCAAACAAGTGAAGGAAACAAAAGAATTCACAAGCCAAACCGAATGCCACCACACAGTAATGAAATTAAAAGTAGTTAAACCCAATGGAAATAAATTATGCCGATCAGGCCTCAACATTATACATGTTTACTTCATCGGACATCATCTCACCCATTTAAAGCTCCACCTATTACTCGTCCCATAATCGCTGCCCCTAATCCTAGGGCTGCAATACTCCCTTCTTGCGACTTCATTGTTGGTCGTGAACTTTGTGTATGTGACTCTGATTGTGTTGGTGGAAGTTGTTGTGGCGCTGGTGGAGAATATTGTTGGTATTGCTGTGATTCATGTGATTGTGATTGCGATTGTGTATGCATTAGTGGCTGCTGGAGAGGTTGGAGTTGAGACTGCGATTTCTGTGATTGCAATTTCAGCTGTGGTGGTGTGTAATTTTTGTATCCATGTGACTGGTGATTCTGTTGCTGCATATAAATTGGCAGTTGACCGTTACTCGGCCCAGCATTTGCTCCTGGCTGAACAATCGCGTAACCTGAGGTTCCATGAATCGGAGACCTAATAAACGGCTGGGGAACTTGCTCCGCAAGAAACCTATAAGTGAAGCTTAGTGTTCCTTTCTCTCTATATGAACCCGGCACACTTACACCCCGCGTCACCAAACTCATACTATTATCATCATCACCACCACCTGTAGTTGAATTAAGTGATGGTGGATTTGATTCAAAGAGTTCCTGAATCGGGACTTTGACTTCACCAATATCCTTATCTTCAAGAAACGTTCGAACTCCGAACAATCTCACAATAAGAGTCAAAAGACCCTGTCGAACTAACTTTTCGTCAAGAGAAAACGTAACTAGGTGGTCCCATCTCGGGTTTCTATAGGCGCAATAGGCGATAGGAGTCTTGGTTTTATCACTAAATGTTGCTGATAGGGTTCCACCAATCATAACCGAAGCGTATACGCTCATCTCGTTGCCGATCATGTTGACCTTATTTATATCTTTAGCGGATTTGATCATGAGCACTAGGGTCAGTTTAGTCATTGTGGTTTGAATTTGAGGGGAATGCAAGACGGGCTGACCTGAACTCGCTGGGTTTGGATAAAGGGGTTGACCATACGATAGCGAAGAATCCGGGGCCGTAGGATACATATCATCAACCGGTACTGCCGTTTTAAGCCGGTATGAGAAGCTAAGCATTCCGTTAGTTCTCTCCATGATTTTCACAGGGTAAGTCACCAACTCGAGTTTAGAGTCACTACCATTAGTTATCGGTAGAAGCGGATTTGAAGCAAGAAGCTCCTGAACCGAAACGTTGACTTCTCCTAAATAAAGGTCATCCTCTCCATCAAGCCAATAGCTAAATAACTTGACCTTGAGGGTCAATAGGGCTGCTTCTTCTTTGATGGAGAACTTAATGGTGTGATTCCACGTCGGATTGGAACCACCGTAGAAGTCAATGGGTGTTTTGGCCCCTTGTCTCTTTTGAATGTTGTCACCGGTGTTTGAAACGACTGCGTATATCTCCGTCTTATCCACGACATTGATATGGCCTACGTCATTAGCTGAAATGATTTTGAGCTCGAGGGTTGAATTCTTCTCTCGAGGGGGAGACATTTCCCGGGAGAGTCTTGTCTTGGGCAAGCTTGGCTATTGTGGAACTTTGATAAAGATATTTATCTAGAAATGCGTGGACATCTTTGATGTTTACAACAATATACAAAGCTATCACAGTAGTTTTTACGAATTATTAGACTGAATTTAAATTAGAGTATACCTCGTTAATGAATTGAAATGAAACAACCTCTTAAGAAATCAATGGTTCATGGAATATACCCTAATTAAAGTCCACTTATAACATCAAGCACATAGCTGGAAATTGAAAGTCCACTTTATGAACTCCTTAAATTAACTAATGATTTACCCAAAAAGAAAATATATATGAAAGGACTATTTCCCAAGAGAATTAAGATGTCTTTTTCGAGTGGTTTCCCACTAGCACACATAAGACGAGTTCCACACAACAAAAGAAAGAGAAATAACAAGAAAGTGATTCAATATTAGAAAGAAAAAGTGAGAAATGATATTATACTTGCTTTTTAGTTGTCAAACATACTTTCATAGTATATTAAGATAACCTGATTGGAACCCAATCCAGGGGCGAAGGGCCAATAATAAAATACTTAAATTGTGAAAGCGAAAAAAAATGTTATATATATGAAAAGGAGTGATGATTAAAGGCAAATTTGAAATGAAGAAGTAGAAATTAAAACTTAATATTATTTTCAAACTAATTAAAAAAAAAAGGAGCAAAATAAGTGTTTTGTGCAAAAAAACTTTAAACTCGCCCATTTTTGCAACTTTATCTTTTATCTCCGAAAAATGTAGATTAATTTTACGAAGTAAAAAATAATACGCAATGTAACCTTTATTCACTACCGTCAAGTTTGTAAAATTTTGACAACTAATATGTCAAATCGAAACCCTTGCGATGAAAAGTTCAACTATACTTTTAGAATTTAAAAAAACTAATGTATGTGACAGAAAAAACGTTTACAATATATGTATAAGAGAACTTCCATCAATCAAAAACTCTATTGAGTGTCCACAAATAAAATAATATTAATTTTTTTATTATTTTATTAGTTTATTATTTAATTGTTTATTTAAACCGGTAAGGTGGGAAAGAAGTTATGATTAAATCGGTAGCTGCGGCACTACCAACATATGTTATGTCTTGCTTTAGGTTACCAAAAACAATTACTTCTAAACTTACAAGTGCGGTTGCTAAGTTTTGGTGGAGTTCTAACGGCGAGTCGAGAGGAATGCACTGGATGGCTTGGAATAAGCTATGTAATAGCAAATCGGAAGGTGGTGTAGGATTTCGGAATGTAGATGATTTTAATTCGGCGTTACTAGCAAAACAATTATGGCGTTTGATTACGGTTCTTGATTGACTTTTTGCAAAGGTTTTTAAATGACGGTATTTTCGGAAATCCAGTCCATTGGATAATATAAAATCATACTCTCCTTCTTATGGTTGGAGAAGTATATTGTCAGCTAGATCTCTGGTTATTAAAGGACTTATTAAAAGAGTTGGTTCTGGGGCGTCCATCTCAGTTTGGGAGGATTCATGGATACCAGCTCAATTCCCGAGACCAGCAAAAAGTAATGGTTCAATTATTGACCCATCTTTGAAAGTTAATAGCCTTGTCGACAGCCGGTCAAATTTTTGGAACATGGATCTCTTGAGGGAGCTCTTTGATCCAGAAGATGTCGCGCTGATTAGTGCCTTGCCTTTGGGTGCGTCAACTAAAGAGGATACCCTTGGTTGGCATTACACTAAATCTGGAAAATATACGGTTAAATCTGGTTACCATACGGCCCGGATAGAGGACTTGGATGCCAGTTCAAAATTTTTTGGCCCAGATATAAAACCTCTAAAAGCATATGCTTGGAAGGTGCAATGTCCACCAAAGCTACGACATTTTTTGTGGCAAATTTTATCAGGTTGTGTACCGGTTACGGAGAATCTGCGAAAGAGAGGTATAAATTGTGATACCGAATGTATTACTTGTAGCGTTATAGAGGAAACAGTTAACCATACACTTTTTAAATGCCATCCAGCGAGACAAATTTGGGCTCTTTCTCAAATTCCTTCGGTTCCGAGGATTTTTCCTACGGCTTCTATTTACGAGAACTTGGACCACCTATTTTGGAGAATACCTTCAGAGGTAGATTCATCTTCTTATCCATGGATAATTTGGTACATTTGGAAAGCAAGGAATGAAAAAATCTTTGACAATGTGGATAAAGATCCATTAGAGGTCTTACGTTTAGCGGAGAAAGAGGCGCAATCGTGGCAGCTAGCTCAAACTGAGCTTCATACTGATAACCATGGTTTTTTAGATAATGAAAATCGAAACCGAGTGAGGGAAATTTCATTGGAGCCTAATTATTCAGGATATCGTTGTTTCATAGATGGATCATGGAAAGGAACCGATACTTTTTCAGGAACATGATGGTATTGTACATCATCAAATGGAGAGATGCCAACCATGAGAGCTGCCAACATTCGTAGAAGTCTATCTCCTCTACATACCAAAGTCGAAGCTCTTCTTTGGGCGATGAAGTGTATGATTGGTGTTGACAACCAAGATGTAGCTTTCTTTACAGACTGTTCAGATTTGGTGAAGATGGTGTCGTCTCCAACCGAATGGCCGGCATTTACAGTGTATCTGGAGGACTTTCAGAGTGATAGGGAAGAATTTTCAAGCTTTTCTTTATCTTTAATTCCTCGTAGCGCAAATGTAAAAGCGGATAAATTGGCTCGACAAGTTCGTACCGAACCGCTTCATATCACATATGTAAACAACATTCCCCAAGAATGACTCTTTTGAGCTTTAATTTAAGTTGTTGACAAAAAAAAAAAAGACAACTGTAAAAATGGGTGTCTCAGAGTTTCTCAAATGAGAAACAGTTTATCTCCTCCTTTTTTAATTTTTTATTCTGTTTTATTGGAGAGTGTCTCACCTAAATGCTCCCAATGGAGATAGTCTAAGGGTTATATTGCGTATTATTTTAGATATCGTAGGTTTAATCTGCATTTTTCGGAGATGAAGGGTAAAGTTGCAAAAATGGACGAGTTGGATGAATTTTTTGCACAAACCCCAACAAAATAAATTAAATCAAAATAAAAAGAAACTATTTCTTGCAAATTAAGAAGGAAAAATAGAAAATGATAAATATCCAATACATATAAATATAAATAGCAATTGAGAAATCTTGATTTTGCATGCATTAAATGTTGCACGGGTGCGACACATCATGCTTCTTCTCAATCAAGGGAAGGTCCCAAGGATTTTTGCCTGTTGGTGTCCATGTGACTCAGTGACTGTGTATCCGGTAATTACTGCGGGAGCGGATGCAGACGCAGCGGTTGAAGCTGCTACTGTTGTGGTGGCGACTGCGGTCGCGGTTTCGGATTCCGTGGTGAATATTGTTGGTATCCATTTGACTGATATGTAGGCGGCATATATATTGGTACTAGACCATTGCTTGTCCCAGAATTAGCCCCTGGTTGAACAGTCACGTAACTCGAGGTCACCTGAATCTTATCCGATGACGCATATGACTGAGGCGATACCGGTAAATACATTATATATGGCTGGCCTGGTGTGGATGGTGTTGGGCTTGTAACTTGATCTGCAAGAAACCTATACGTGAAGCTCACGACACCTTTTTTTCCATAAGGACCCGTCAAAGCGTGTGTCTCCAACTTCATACCGTTAGCATCACCACTATTGGTCAACGGATAAGGCGGATTTGAACCCAATAACTGTTGCATCGGAAGTCTGACAAATCCAATTTCCTTATCACCAAGAAAAGGCCGGTGGCTCATCAATTCCACGAGAAGCATCAAACGCCCTTCTTGAGCTGACTTCTCATCAAGAGAAAACTTCATCTTCTGATTCCACGTTGGGTTTGTGTAAGCAGAGAAAGCCACAGGGGTATTGACCCTATTCTTAACTTTTCTGTCTTTAAGAATCGCAACCGAGGCGTATACGTCCATGGACGAGAAGGCGTTGACATCTTCGATCTTCTTGGCGAATTTGATCACGAGCTCTAGGATAAGTTTCCCCGTGGTGGATTGAAACCGAGGGGAAAATACGAGAGGTTGACCTAATTTTGTTGGATCCAAGTCTCGGTAAACGGGTTTACCGATCGATGGCGAATTATCCGGTGATGGAGGATAAGGTTCCTCAACCGGTACAGGTTTAAACCGGTATGAAAGGCTTAGCCTTGCGTTGGTCCTTTCTTCTGTGGCCTTGATAGGGCAAGTCATTGACTTCATTTTGTTGACGTTACCGTTAGTAAACGGTGGAATCGGATTTGAGGCAAGAAGCTCTTGAACCGAGATGTTGACTTCTCCCAAATAAAGGTCACTATCACCTTGTAGCCAATAGCTAAATAGCTTGACCGTAATAGTAAGTAGGCCTTCGTTGGCTTCTGTCTCGTTGACGGAGAACTTAACGGTGTGATTCCACGTTGGATTGGAACCACCGTCGTAATCAATGGGAGTTTTGGCCGCTTGTTTCTGTTGAGTTGTGTCTCCGTTGATTGAAACGACCGCGTATACGTCCATTTTGTCCGTGGCATCGATATGGTTGACTTCACTGGCTGATACAATTTTGAGCTCAAGAGTTGGGTTCTCCATGGCGCTTTGCAACTGTGGTGAAGACATTTTCAAGAGAGTATTGTTTTGTTATATCTTCGCAATTTTCAAATATACCAAGATATTTATATACAATTTATGTGTGGACATCTTCTTATGTGACAAAATTATTGAAAAATAAAATGGATGTCATTTCGTGAGTCATCCTTAGTTTATGTACATCAAATATAATTGACCATGTCATAGAATATATATCCTATTTTTTTGGTTCAAATTCAAACTCTTATCAAATACTTATATAATCCATATAGAAAAATTAGAGTTTGTTTGGTTCAACTTGTAAATAAACATCATTTACTCAATAGAATCTTCGAAGTTATACTAGTATTATGCCTTTCATATGCAGGTATAGTTTATGATCTATGAGATCCAAGTTAACCGAGTTCTCATGTTGTCGTGTTTTTTATTTATTTCAAGTAACATATTTAATAGTTTGTGAAAAGTAACATGGAGACTTACGTCAAAAAAAGATGGAAAGAAGGAAAAAGCAATAAAATAAAACTAATGATGACGTAAAAACAACTTGGTCAAAACGGATTATATATGTACGGACCAAATAATATCGATTTTACGCTGGTCAATGCTCAAACGTACGGTGATATTTTTTGTTTTCTAACTTTTGTTGGTCAAAAGGATTTAGTGATACTAGTTACAAAAATTTGATGTGATAACACTTATGGTTCATGGTGCTCACGTAATAAGCAATCGATCGATTTTATAAATCGAAAACAGCTTGCACACGATTCAATATACTTTGTCTCCCCTAGGTAGTGTGAAAGGGCACATAGCCACAAAAAAAAAATGGAACAACATTAAAGACAAATCAGACACCAAAATGTTTATGCTACATGAAAAAAGTGACGCTCCAAAAAGACAACATTTCTTACGTAAAAAGAAATAAAAACACTACGAAGTTCGAAATCGACTGTGAAGTTCCAACGCTAGACATTATACATAGATATCTAGGACATGGATACCTATTGTCTATCAAATCCAATCCAAGACGTGAAAAGAAAACATATAGTACCAATTGTCTATGACCGAGTGGTTTCCCACTATCAAACAGAACATAAGTCACAAGACAAGTTCCACAAAAACAAAAAGAAATATACTATTAAAATAAAGTCTCATAATTAATATGTAAAATTTGGTATTATAATAGTATTATATAAACAAAACATAATTGAATATTCGAAAAGATAACTTCCGTTATATACTTTTTTTTTTTTGTAGGAATAGTTCTTCTTTCGTATGTAATATATACTTTTATGCATGCATATATATACCCTAAATATACTTTGAAACATGAACTTTCTACACATGTGCTTCAGTGCTTAGTAAATGGTGGATGAATGCAATTACATTAAATCACACATCACACATAATGGAATTTTATTTTATTTAATTAGGTGGTAGCAAACGATCGACATAAATATTTTTCTGATAATCAGATCGACATATATATCAATGGAGACGGTCGATCAACGTCTTAGCAACAGGGGAGAGATCGACATAGATATCGATATCGTCATAAACATGAGATGACTCGTTGAACTTGATTTTTTGGAGATTTCCTCTGCAAGTCTGAAGATTGCTAACCGAAGTGTTCACCAATCCGGAGGCATTCTCGTAATTACGGATTACCAAATTGCCTTTGGCTAAGTAAAGTTCTATTTTTGCAATCGAAAAGTCTCCGTTGCAATCTTCCAGAACATTCTCGATTGCTTCACCCACTCCTTTCGTCGACAGACTCGTGACGTCGCTACAACCAAAAAATAAATCAATATAATAGTCGTTACTATAATATAAACCGCAAAAATGTATATATATTTTCCACTTGGAAAACGCTCTTCTTTTTTTTGTAAAAGTAAGTTTACCGTAGTAAAATTCACATTAAACCAAAAAAGAACTTTACCGCGGAAGTCAAATTTGGTAGACAAATAATGTTTGAAGAGAAAGCATGTTAGTTTACAAAGACGTTGTAATATTAATTTTGTGAAAATTCGTTGAAATGTTATTTGTACAATAATGATTGATGGTTTAATGAAACTTACTTGATAAGAATATCAAGTTGAGCTTCGAGACAGTTTATAGTGATGTTGACGAATCCAGCAAGGTCGGTTTGGTGGGAGGTTGGGTCAGATTCAAGACAAAAGAGGCATAAGTTTTGGTTTCCTGTCTGACTACACTCTTTCTTCATCAGCTCTTCGTCTGCTCGAATCGACAACACAAGAAACAACAATAGCATAACCTTGATCATGGGATTAGTCATTTCTCTCTAGTTCTTTTGATAATAGGTTTTTGTGTTTGATATTTTGTGGTTGTGATGCTTTGATCAGGAGGTGTTTCTAACTTATTTAAACTAAGAACCATGAGATTTGCTTGGCTCACGAGTCAGTATCTCATTAATGAGGTTTTATGAAGTTGGTAGTTCGATTGTAACCTCTTTTTTGCTATTCATAGTGAAAATTTTCATTTTATTCAACACAAAATTAATGTAAGCTGCTAATATTATTTTGCTCCTCTTGGGTATATTATATGTTCCCATTAATATTGATCTCTGCCATAAGAGACTTGTAGCTACATCTTAAAGTTTTGTCTAACCTACATTCAAGCAAAGTGGATATGGGCTTTAATTAATTTTTAAGGTTCACAGGACAAGACTCAGTTATTTCATGCGGAGTTGAACCAGATTGATTCCAATGCCATTAATAGTTACGGCTTCCCCATTGGCTCCCTACCTATAAGATATCTAAGACCATCCTTATTGCAAGTCTCTTACTATAAATCTTAGGTATAATATAATCAAAATAATATGTGAATAGTTTAGAAGAGTTCCTTAGCTAAGAGATAAAAGAAGGTTTAAGAGCTTCAAACCATTACAAAAGCTTTTAGCTATAATTTTTTTCAATAAAACAATTCATAATAATAGTTAAGAGACAAAATTAAGAGCCTACCATTAAGGTTGCTCTACGGCTGCCACTGATGTAACGAAAGCTAAAAATCTCTGAGTATGCGCCTCTTTTAGATAAGATAACGGGAAGGTTCAGATTGTGGGCTGTCCGTTTCCTTTCTTTTGTGGGAAGACTTCAACTGATCTCTTCGGTCATTGCGGGAAGGGTAAATTTTTGGATCACAACCTTTATTCTTCCTCGTGGTTGTATTAAAAAGATTGAATCACTATGTTCTAGATTCCTTTCGTCTGGTACTATTGATGGCAAATGTTTGGCAAAAGTTGCTTGGTCCACCGTCTGCTTAATTACCGAAAAAAGAAGGTGGGTTGGGGTTGAGATGCTATGGAATACTACCCTTTGTTTGCGTCTCATCTGGCTCTTATTCTCAAAGAGTGGGTCCTTGTGGGTTGCTTGGCATAAGCATCACCATCTCAGCAATTCAAGTTTTTGGACCCTAAATGATCATGTGAATGATTCTTGGACTTGGAAAACCTTATTAAAGCTAAGACCACTAGCGGAAAGGTTTGTAAAATGCAGTGTGGGAAATGGAAAAATTGCTAGCTTTTGGTTTGATAGTTGTACTCCTCTTGGTCCATTAATTAAGGTATTGGGAGAAGAGGGACCGAGAAGTAGCCGTATCCCACTAAATGCCAAAGTGGCTGATGCTTGTAACCAACAAGGTTGGATTCTGGCGAGTCCGAGGTCAGAACAGGCTATGGCTCTTAACAGTCATTTGACAACAATCAGATTACCTAGTAACTCTACTCTGGAGGATACTTATTGTTGGATTGTGAATGATGTAAAATGCAGAGGTTTCTTATCAGAGTTATAGAGTTGACTAAACAGAGCTGACGTTGACTACATGATAGTTAACAGATGGTTAAGTTTAATTTACCTGAGTTAATTAGTTAGTTACAGTGAGATACTTGTATAAATACAGCTATACTTGTACATTGACATTTTACGATGAATAAAACAGAATCTTCTTCTTCTTCTTCAAGCTCAATTCTTGGTTTGTGATATGGTATCAGAGCATTCTTTATCTTCCGTGAAAATGAGCGTTTCTTCTCTGGATCTATTCATCGTCAACATTCTTCTTGCGATTTGCGATTATCTTGTTTCTGTTTCATTTCTTCTTCTGATTCTTTTTGTTTCTCTTTGATTGACCTCGATTGTGATTGATTCTTGTTTCGTTTTCATCACAATTTCTTTGAATCTTCCCGATTTCCACATTGGATATGGGATCGCATAGTTTTTCTTCAAATCCTCCGGATGTTTCTGCTCCGATTCGTTTTTCTAATGAACAAGGTGATAATCCTTACTATCTTCATAAGAGTGATCATGCCGGACTGCAATTAGTCTCCGATCGTCTCACCGGTGGTGTAGATTTTCATTCTTGGCGCCGATCTGTGCGTATGGCACTCAATGTGCGAAATAAGCTTGGTTTTGTGGACGGTACGATTCCGAAACCTTCTGATAATGATCCTAACGCTGGTGCGTGGTCTAGATGTAATGATCTTGTAGCGACTTGGTTAATCAATTCTGTAGCCAAGAATATTAGTCAGAGTCTTTTGTTTATATCGACTGCTGAAGGAATTTGGAAGAGTTTGATGGCTAGATTTAATCAGGATGATGCTACAAGGATCTATGAAATTGAACAAAAGTTATGCACAATACAGCAAGGATCTCGTGATGTTAATGCATACTATACTGAGTTGATTACTTTGTGGGAGAACTATAAGAATTATGTTGAGCTACCAGTGTGTACATGTGGACATTGTGAGTGTAATGCTGCACAATTATGGGAAAAATTGCAACAAAGGAGTCGTGTGACTAAATTTCTAATGGGATTGAATGAAGCTTATGAACCTACCAGGCGTCATATCTTGATGCAGAAGCCAATGCCATCTCTAGAAGCAGCTTTCAACATAGTAGTTCAAGATGAAAGACAGAAATCTATCAATCCTGTAAGTCAAGCTGGTAATGTTGTTTTCCAGACTTCAGGATCATCAGAGTTGGATCAAATGATTGCTTATGCCAATTATAAAGGTAAACCGAAGGTTGTTTGCACTCACTGTGGGATGACAGGACATATGGTTAACAAGTGTTATAAGATACACGGCTATCCTCCTGGTTATATCCCTGGTTTTAAGTCTCAGGCTACTCAGCTATATGGCCAGAGACCACAACAATACTCAGCTCAACAGTACAATACTTATCCAGCTAAACAGGTCAATACTCAACAGTTTCAGCCTAAAGGAAACTTTCAGCAAATGCAGAGGCCATTCCAAGTCAATGCTCAACAATGGAGGCCATCTTTTCCTCAAAAGGATAATGCTATTGCTAATGTCATGATTGAAGCTCCTCCCACAACAGCTCAGGTTACTTACAACAATATTGATTTGAGTTCTTTGACATCGGATCAGGTGCAACAGATAGTGGCACAACTTCAGTCTCTTCATGTTCCAGAACAGTCAACTTCGAATTTGGCTACTATAACAGAAAATGGTGTTATGGCTTGTGAATCTGATTCAGGTACAATTCCATTTCCATCAACCAATTTACAATTCCAAAACAAAATTTTAACCTTTCAAAACCATTGTCTTTCTTCTCTACACTCTTTTATTCCTGCTGGTGCTTGGATTATAGATAGTGGTGCAACCAGTCACGTGTGTTCTGATCTAACATTGTTCAAAGATTTTAAACCCGCAATTGATCAGACAGTATCATTACCAAATGGTGTTAGAGTACCTATTGCACACACTGGCACCATTCATCTTACATCTGCATTGATTCTCTATAATGTTTTGCATATACCATCATTCAATTTTAACTTGATTAGTGTTAGCTCATTAGTGAAAACAAGTTCATGTTCTGCTCATTTTTACTCTGATTCTTGTGTCATTCAGGACCTTACTCAGGGCTTGATGCTTGGAAAGTGTAGTATACTTCAGAATCTTTATGTCCTGACTCAAGCTGATTTACATGCATCTATTGTCTCTGATCATTTCGTTGCATCTATCACTGCTGATGGAAATCTCTGGCATCAACGCCTAGGACATCCTTCTGCAGCAAAACTTCAAAATCTTTCAGAAAAGCTTTCTATTTCTAAGAGTTCTTTACATTCATCATTTCATTGTAATGTTTGTCCTTTGGCAAAACAAAAACGATTACCATTTGAGTTTAATAATAATCTTGCATTAGAACCTTTTGATTTGATTCACCTTGATGTTTGGGGTCCCTTTTCTCATGAAACTAATGAAGGATATAGATATTTCTTGACTATTGTTGATGATTGCACAAGAGTAACATGGATATATCTTTTGAAAATGAAAAGTTCTGTTCTTACTGTTTTTCCAGAATTTTTAAAATTGATAGAAACACAATTTGGTAAGCATGTTAAAGCCATTAGATCAGATAATGCTCCGGAATTGTCATTTACTTCTTTAATCAAATCTAGAGGCATGGTTCATTACTTCTCTTGTGTAGATACACCGCAACAGAACTCTGTTGTAGAACGCAAACATCAGCATTTACTGAATGTTGCAAGATCTTTAATGTTTCAATCGCATGTTCCTGTTGCTTATTGGGGTGAATGTATTCAGACTGCAGTTTTTCTTATTAATAGAACCCCATCTCCTTTACTTGATAACAAATCTCCTTATGAAAAGCTAATGAATAAAGTTCCTGAATATTCTATGCTTCGAGTTTTTGGTTCTTTATGTTATGTTTCTACATTACCTAAACATCGCACAAAGTTTTCTCCTAGAGCAAAACCCTCTGTTTTCTTAGGTTATCCATCTGGTGTAAAAGGTTTTAAGGTTTTAGACTTAGATACTAATCAAGTTTACATTTCCAGAAATGTTGTGTTTCATGAAAATATTTTTCCTTTTGTTGATTTACAAGATTTACAACATGATATTTTTCCTCATACTATTCTACCATTGCCTGTTGCTGATTGTCCTGCATCATCATATTTTCATACTATACCACAGTCATATCCTCCATCAACATCATCATCACCTATTCAAAATGCCCCATCATCATCTCATACTTCTCCAGCATCATCATTAAATTCACCTGTACATACATCATCTTCATCATCGACTCATTCATCATCATCATCTCATAATTCACACTCTAACACCGGAATATCATCACCTACTGTTGATCTTGCTGATTTACCATCTTTGGACCCTGTTAGACCTAAACGCAATGCTAAAGCACCCTCATATCTATCCCAGTACCATTGTTATCTAACCCAAAACACTATCCCAACTCCTATACCATCAACCCGTTATCCATTGTCCTCAGTCTTATCCTATGATCTTCTTGCTCCTGAATTCCAACAATTCATTCTTGCTATTACTCTGGAAACTGAACCACATACTTTCAAACAAGCCATGGCATCTGAATATTGGAAAAATGCATGTAATTCGGAGTTGACTGCTCTTGAGGGACATAAGACCTGGTCTGTTGTTTCCCTTCCTCCTGGTCATAATGTTGTTGGATGTAAATGGGTCTTTACGATCAAATATAATGCAGATGGTACTGTGGAAAGGTACAAAGCTCGATTAGTTGCTAAGGGGTATACACAAGAAGAAGGTGTGGATTATTTTGATACTTTTTCCCCTGTAGCAAAGCTGACTACAGTGAAGCTTCTTTTAGGTGTTGCTGCTATTAAGAACTGGACTCTCACCCAAATGGATGTATCCAATGCCTTTCTACATGGAGAATTAGATGAAGAGATATATATGAGCTTACCACAGGGATATACTCCACCTGATGGTCAGCCTCTACCTCCTAATGCAGTCTGCAAACTCCATAAGTCCTTGTATGGACTCAAACAAGCTTCACGTCAATGGTATCATCGCTTATCTACTGTTATAATGAATGCTGGATTCAAACAATGTGCTGGTGATCATACTTTATTCACCAGAAAGACAGGATCAGTGTTTCTAGCAGTTTTGGTATACGTTGATGATATTGTTATTGCTAGTAACAATCTAGAGGCTGAGAAGGAATTTAAAGATCTCTTACACAGAGAATTCATGATCAAAGATCTTGGCCCTATGAAGTTTTTTCTTGGCTTGGAAGTTGCAAGGAATAAGAAAGGGATCTCTGTATGTCAGCGGAAGTATGCACTTGACTTGATTGAAGGAGCTGGTTTCTTAGGCTGCAAACCATGTGCTGTTCCAATGGATCCTGTTGTGCAACTCAGTAAAGAAGATGGTGAACTTTTGGCCAATCCTACTGTCTATAGAGAGCTTGTAGGGAAGCTTCTATATCTCACGATTACTAGGCCTGATATCACGTTTGCTGTTCACAAACTGAGCCAGTTTATCTCTTGTCCTACTGGTGTTCATCTAACAGCAGCTCAGAGAGTTGTCAGATACTTGAAATCTAATCCAGGACAGGGCTTATTTTTCCCATCTGATTCTGATCTGAGTCTCAGTGCCTTTGCAGACGCGGATTGGGCAGCTTGTCCAGATTCAAGACGAAGTGTTTCTGGTATTTGTGTCTTCTTAGGTCACTCTCTTATATCCTGGAGATCAAAGAAACAAGAAGTGGCTAGTAGAAGCAGCACTGAGTCAGAATATAGAGCTATGGCACATGCTACCTGTGAGTTGATTTGGATTGATCAATTACTTAAGGATTTGCAGGTAACTCGTTCTTCTCCTGCAAAGCTTTATTGTGATAACAAATCCGCCTTATACATTGCTTACAATCCGGTCTTCCACGAACGAACGAAACACATAGAGATAGATTGTCATACTACACGGGATCAGATCAAGCGAGGCTTTCTCATTGCTCTACATGTTTCAACACATAATCAACTGGCAGATATACTCACTAAGGCTCTTGGTCCATCACAGTTTCACTCTTTACTCTCCAGAATGTCTATATCAAGTCTTTACCTTCCTCAAAATCCAGGTTAAGACTTGAGGGGGGCGTATCAGAGTTATAGAGTTGACTAAACAGAGCTGACGTTGACTACATGATAGTTAACAGATGGTTAAGTTTAATTTACCTGAGTTAATTAGTTAGTTACAGTGAGATACTTGTATAAATACAGCTATACTTGTACATTGACATTTTACGATGAATAAAACAGAATCTTCTTCTTCTTCTTCAAGCTCAATTCTTGGTTTGTGATATTTCTCTTCAAAGCTAATGTTGGAATCGGTCAGGCCAAGAGAAGAGGTTAAAGACTGGTTCCATTCTGTGTGGTTCAAAGGAGCCACCCCCAAACATGCGTTTACAATGTGGACAGCCCAGCTTGACCGCTTACCTACGCGAATACGACTCGCCTCTTGGGGAATGTTGATTCCTACAACATGTTGTCTGTGCTCTGCTTTTGATGAAACTAGGAATCATCTCTTTCTTCATTGTGAGTATAACAAAGATCTGTGGCACGCTATTCAGCAGAGGATTGGTCTTTCCGCCACAACCTTCCAGTCTTGGACAAATATGCTGACATGGTTGTTCTTCAATGATTTTGATATTCGTATGTAATATATACTTTTATTTTATGCATGCATGGTATATACCCTAAATATACTTTGAAACATGATTTATCTCCAGATTCTCTGTACGACAAAAAAAAAAAAAAGAACGTTCTACACATGTGCTTCAGTGCTTAATTAGTAAATGGTGGATGAATGCAATTACATTAAATCACGCATCACACATAATGGAATTTTATTTTATTTAATTAGGTGGTAGCAAACGATCGACATAAATATTTTTTTGATATCGGATGGACAAATTTATTTATGGAGACGGTGGATCAACGTCTTAGCAACAGAGGAGAGGTCGACATAGACATCGATATCGTCATAAACATCATGTGACTCGTTGAACTTGATTTTTTGGAGATTTCCTCTGCAAGTCTGAAGATAGCTAACCGAAGTTTTCACCAATCCGAAGGCTTTCTCGTTATTAAGGGTTACCAACTTGTCTTTGGCTTCGTTAAGTTGTAATTTTGCAATCGAAAAGTTTACGTTGCAATCTTCCAGAACATTCTCAATTTCTTCACCCTCTCCTTTCATCGACAGACTCGTGACGTCGCTACAACCAAAAAACAAATCAATAGTCATTACTATAATATATAAACCGCTTAATATAAATTTTCCACTTGGAAAACGCTCTTCTTTTTTTGTAAAGTAAGTTTACTGTAGTAAAATTCACATTAAACCACAAAAGAATTTACCCGGGAAGTCAAATTTAGTAGACAGATAATGTTTGAAGAGAAAGCATGTTAGTTTACAAAAGCGTTGTAATATTTATTTTGTGAAAATACGTTGAAATGTTATTTGTACAATAATGATTAATGGTTTAATGAAACTTAATTACTTGATGAGAATATCAAGTTGAGATTCGAGACAGTGTATAGTGATGCTGACGAATCCAGCACGGTCGGTTTGGTAGGAGATTGGGTCAGATTCAAGACAAAAGAGGCATAAGTTTTGGTTCCCTGTCTGACTACACTCTTTCTTCATCAGCTCTTCGTCTGCTCGAATCGACAACACAAGAAACAACAATAGCATAACCTTGATCATGGGATTAGTCATTTCTCTCTAGTTCTTTTGATAATAGGTCTTTGTGTTTGATATTTTGTGGTTGTGATGCTTTGATCAGGAGGTGTTTCTAACTTATTTAAACTAAGAACCATGAGATTTGATTGGCTCACGAGTCAGTATCTCATTAATGAGGTTTTATGAGGTTGGTAATTCGATTGTAACCTCTTTTTTGCTATTCATAGTGAAATTATTCATTTTATTCAACACAAAATTAATGAAAGCTGCTAATCTTATTTTGCTCCTCTTGGGTATATTATATGTGCTCATTAATTTAGATCTCTGCCATAAGAGACTTGTAGCTACGTCTTAAAGTTTTGTCTAACCTACATTCAAGCAAAGTATGGGCCTTAATTAATTTTTAAGGCTCACAGATTTTGCGGATTAAACATGTTGGTGGTCCGGTGGGTTTGGCTTGTAGATAGCCTTTTTTTTCATATAAATTTCGATGGTTAAAAATCATAAATTTATAAATTTCAAGGTGCAACACAAAAAAGTTTTGTTAACTGAAATGAATTTGCCATGAAGTCAAATTCATAATCATCAAATTTTTTTTATAAGCAAGACGTCATAAACGCAAATCATGCAAACATTCAACAACACAAAACTTATATTGTCCAATATTGATGAATACCATTTCTTAATTGTCACTAAGGCACTAAATATCAGTAACTAAATCCACAACAGCATCTATATATTGTAGCCTTGCTTCATTCCTCGTCGGTTGCTGAGGCGGCAGACCTCCGTATCTATATCCCGGTAGCGGTGGAGGCGGAGACGGCATGTAACCATAAGGTCCATATCCATACTGACTTGGCGGAGCCCACGTTGGCACCCGGTGGTAACCGTGACTGGATATAACATCTGCCCCATTGAACCGGTACGAGAAAGTCAGATGACCTTTCATTTTCTTCGACGTAGTTCTCACTTGATACGTCACAAACCTCATGCCATGGCTGTTAACGTTAGTTGGACTATGAAGCGCAAGAGGTCAAGTAACGAGACTTCGACTCCACCGATACCTTTATCGCCTAAGAGTCGGTTTATCTCGCATTCAATCGAGTTAGAGGAAAGACTCGGAGTGGACTAAAAGGTTTCAAGTCTGAAAAGGTGTAATAGTGAAAAAATTCTGGGTTATGAAGCAAATAAATGTTTGTTTGACTGATTATTAAAAAAGAGAAATAAAATAATAAGTGAGTCGGAAAAAGAAATTACTTCTTGTGATTTACGAATAAAAATAGTACTCTAAAATCTAATGTATTTAGATAGATTCAAAAACTGAAGAAAATTTTGATTTGTATGCATATGTAGAATGTATATTAGTGTATGTAATGGATATGCTTCTATTAGAATTGTACAAAAAAAAAGCAAACAAAGAAACATAGAGATTTAGTTTCAAGGGAAATTTTTTATTAAAAGTTTCATTACCACGCAAATACTCAATAACAAAAGTCTTTAACTGTCCATCATTGATGAACAACGTTTTTTAATTGTCACTAAGGCACTAACTGATTAACGAGATTGCTGAAAACAAAGTGTCACCATTTTGTAGCCTTGCTTCATTCCTCGTCGGCTGCTGAGGCGGAACTCCGTATCCATATCCGATTGGCGGTGGAGGCAGCATGTAACCATACGGTCCATACCCTTGCTGACTCGGTGTAGCCCACGTTGGCGCCTGTTGGTAAACCGTTGCTCCAATGAACCGGTACGAGAGAGTCAAAGAACCTTTCATTGTCTCCGACGGAGTTCTCACCTGGTACGTCACAAAATTCATCGTTTCCTTGCTGTTCCCATGACCGTTAGTTGACGGCGTATGTGAACGCAAGAGGTCAAGTAACGGGACTTCGATTCCACCAATTTCTTTATCGCCTAGGAGTCGTTTGGAGAACAATCTCACGGCAAGTGTCAAACGACCTTCAAGGGCTAGTTTCTCGTTGATAGAAAACTTGACGGCGTGATTCCAAGTCGGGTTAGACCCGCCGGAGTGATCGACGGCTGTTTTCACCTTTTGTTTCTTTAGCTTTTTGTCTCCACGAAGGGTTGTGATGGCGTAAACGTTCATCTTTGTGATGTGGTTGACATTCTCAAGGTCACTTGCGGAGTTGATGTTAAGCTCTAAGGTTAGGTTCGTCATGGCTTCAACGTGAGATGATATTACCTAACTTAATCAGACTTCAATTTATAGAGACGTTGCACTGAGACTTTGTTGGGGGATTTGAAAAGGTGTAACAATGAAACATTTTTGGGTAATGAACCAAATAAATATAAATTTGACTGATTATTGGAAAAAAGGTAGAAAATAATGAGTGAGTAGAAAAAGAAATTAATTCGGATTTGAAAAGGTGTAACAATGAAACATTTTTGGGTAATGAACCAAATAAATATAAATTTGACTGGTTATTGGAAAAAAGGTAGAAAATAATGAGTGAGTAGAAAAAGAAATTAATTCTTGACATTCATGAATAAAAAAAGCATATAATCCAATGCATTCATAAATTTAAAAATTGAAGATTTGGATGCATGTACAATATACACAAGTGCATGTATTAATTAGATGTGCCTCTTTTAGATATATGTACAAAAGAAAGCAGACAAGGAAATATAGAGATTTAGTTTCAAGGGAAATTCAAAATACAGTTAAACCTCTATAAATTAATACTCGATAAATTAATAAACACGATAAAATAATAAATTTTGCTGGTCCCAAGTCGGGTCAGTGTAAAAATTAACCAAATTCGATAAGATAACAAGTTAATAATTTTTTTCAAATCCCTATGTAAAATTATGGTCCCAATAATATCATAAATTAATAATCATGTAAATTTACACACATATATATATATATATAAATAATATATTATGTAGTAGATTTTAAAAAAGAATTTCTATTCATAAATAGCTAAACTTTTATGTAAGTTTTCAAAATTATGAATAAGTATAATTTTTATTTGAATAATCGTATAAACCGTTCAAGTACAACGATTGAAGTCACTATGTTACATATTTTTTGTATATGTGAATTCATTTATAATCTTTGTTATTATTGCTAAAAATTGTTATTTCTTCTAAATATTAAATATTCAAATCTAAAACTACCAAAGTTATAGCATCCAAAGTATTACTTTTATTTAGATCAAATTATTTTTTCTCATATTTTTAAAAATTAATCAAAACTCTCTATAAATTAATAAATATTAATTTACACTATAGATTAATAATTATATCACTATAAATTAATAAATTATCATGGTCCCAACATTATTAATTTATAGAGGTTTTACTGTATATACACTAGGATATTTTACACAATAGATTATGATTTGGGATTTTGGTGAGAAATGTGTTCGATGAGTTTGTTGGTTATATATGAAACTTGAAATACGAATGTTTTAGCCTTGCTTGATGATGAGTTTTGTTGATATTGAAGCTTATGCGTTTTTATTTAACAGTTGACACCATTTGTTATATGGTTGGATTGAGGAAATTGGATGTTTAAAATGTATCCAAATTAACAAACTAAGATTAGTTTTGTTATAAAGTAGTTGATAAGCATATACTATAGGAATATAAAAAAAGGAATGGTATCATACAAGCAAAATGAGTTGAAACATTTTTTCTGCTACAATGTTTTATTTTATTTTTGCCATTTATCAAGTTTTTCCTAAACTCTTTCCCATTATTTGTTTGATTAGTACAATAAAAAAGTTTTAAAAGAAATAGAAGACAACATACCTATGATAAGTTCATGTAAATAGGGGAAAGAAATTGTTTAGAGAAAACAAAATGAAATAAAATTCAAAGATCATAACAATTTGCAACATCAGACACAATGTCTCCCACCATTAGTCCACCCAAAAGCCCGGCTCCCACTCCAAGTCCAAGCCCTATCTCCTTCCGTTGTTGATACGATGGACTTCCGTATCGATATCCCGACGACACATAACCGTACGGTCCATATCCTTGTTTCGTTGGTGGTGGCGCTTGGTTGTAAGCGTGATCGGTTTGCTCGGTTATCACAGCACCATAGGATATTGGAAGAAGATCACCGCTAGAACCTGTGGCGAAAGGATGTCTCCGAAGATACGGAGGCTGAGCCAGCTTAGGAAACTCAATTGGCAATTCAGGTGGAGCCGAAGGTTGATGCTCGATTTGAGATGGTGGTACAGAACTCCGGTTAGTGATCATTGGAAAAGTTGTTTTAAACCGGTACGAGAAGGACAAAGAGCCTGACCGTTTACCTGACGAAGTTCTCACCTGATACGTCATCAATTTCATCTCCTGACCGTTACCGTTACCATCAACGTTAATTGATGGTGTGATTGAATTCAAAAGCTCAAGTAACGGGATGTTAACTCTTCCGATTTCTTTGTTGCCTAAGACTCGATGGGAGATTAATCTCATTACAAGTGTCGAATGACCGTCACGGGCTAAGCTCTCGTTAACGGAAAATTTGACGATTTGATTCCAAGTCGGGTTAGATCCACCATTGCGATCAACAGCGGTTTTCGCCTTTTGTTTCTTTCGGGTATTCTCGCCGTTGATGGTGATGGCAGTGAAAACATTCATTTTGGTGATGAGGTTGACATTCAAAAGGTTACTTGCGGAGTTGATGTTTAGCTCTAGTGTTAGATTCGCCATAATTGTGATGAGAGCTCAACATAAACTCTATGAGGTTTAGCTTATAACGTTAGAAAAAATAGTCAAATAAAGTAAATTTAGACAATTATAGGAAAAACTTTTTAGTAAATAGAAACAAAAGAATCAGAAATTCAATAAGGGAAAACTTAAGAAATACAGTGCATCAGAATGAAATATTAAAAGTTGTGAACCCATTTTAGTCTCATAAATATACATGTAATATACATACCTATTTTGGAGATAAACAAAAACATGACTCATGTGACATGAGGAAAAATTTATTAGTTTCAAGGAAATTATCTTATTTAATGGTGTCAAAAAAAAGAAAAAAATCATTTATAAAATAAAGGAATCTTTTACAAATTAATTAAAGGAGTAAATTTAAAAATTTGTTACAGCTAGATAGTGAAATTAATAATGAGAATTGGTTAAATTTAGGGGAGTCTTACAATCCTAACACGTATCTTCGAGATATTGGTTCCTTGGCTCATTTTATCTCAATGAAATCTTAGTGTCTACTAAATGATTCAATTACTAAACTTACTGAACTGGACAGACCAAACCAAAATTCAACTTCACTAGCATATTTAATTTGGGTCATTAAGCGTAGATCATAGAGATTCAATGAGTGTTTGAAGCAGAAATCAAATGCTACACTTGCTTAAGCCATAATTTCGTTTCTTCAGTTTACAATTATATATTATCATTGCCATGTTTGTAAGTGCGGATGAGGTACGATAAATAGCGGAAAGTAAACGAGACAAGAAATTTGTTAACGAGGTTTGGTTTTTCCTACTCCCCGGGACTAAGTCCAGATTTCAATTTCACTAGAACAAGAAAGCAAATTACAACCAATTCGCAAACGCGTAAAACAAGCCCAACCCTCTTGATTTACCGCTCCTTTCTATAACGTGAAACCTTAAGGATAATCTCTACCCTTAACTAAACTCCCCTTGAGTCTAGATTTAATCAGGATAACCTAACCCTGAGCTAAACTCCCCTTGAGCCTAGACTTCAAAACAAAACCACTTGATCACACAAGCACAAAACCCGCAAAACTAAGTTGCACAAAACCGCGAAACTATGTCGCACACACCCTCCGAAAGCTCTCAATGATTTGCCTCTATGCCTCAGCTCTCTTCCTCTCCAAGACGTCCTCCACTCCTCCTTATATAGCCAAAACGATTTCCTAATCACCATAGGAGAAGATTTCTAATTTCCATAAGAAAAAGTAAATTTCCTTTTATACTTTTCCTTTTTCTCATCAAACTCCACTTTCATCAAGTCTTCCAAATCTCTTTAAGTCCTTTTTCCTTTGTGATTTATCCTCTAAACACGCTCCAAACATATCTTCTCAAACCTTCTAGAAACCGACACTCACACAAAAACAGTCGCATCTTGACTTACTTCTTGAATCATTCAGCAACTCCATCAGACAAACTCTTGTATTACTTCTTGACTCATTCAACAACTTAATCAGACTCCAGCTACATCTTCAATGTTGATAAATGACATTTGCAATATAATGTATGGTCATTTAAACTCTTCTTAAATTGAGAAAGAAGGATGTTATAAGAAAAAGAAACACACAAAAAAGGTTTAAAGCACACAACCTCACACTAAAAAGTACAAAGTGTCCATCAAATCTCTAGAGACGGCCACAATCGTATCTACTATGACGAATCTGATCACGACCAAACAAAAGTAACAACAAAGCTATAAACATTAGCCTCAGAACCTTTGATGACGTTTGTAGCGAACGTCCGGTCAAATAAGTCTGCACCGAAAGCCCGAGTAATCTCATCCTACGTTCCTCAACATACTCATCAATAGCTTCTTCAATGTTTTTCATCGAACAATCCTTTAACAAGTCTCCGTGGTCCGGACCCACTTTCCTAGCCAGACATCTAGCTAAAACAACCGCATCCTCTAGCGCCGCTGAGCCGCCTTGTGCCAAGAATGGACCCATCACATGCATCGCATCGCCGGCTACAGTGACGGTCCCACGGCGAAATTTACCTAACATGATTTCCGACGGCGCTCGGTACCTTAAGTGGGTGAGTGTTAATGACTCCACATCGCATATTTTAACCATTTCTTTCCAGTCTTCAGACAAGTCCTCGGCCCATTTTAGACACAGATTCGCAATCGATTCTTGATCTTTACCATTGTGATTATTGTCTTGCATATGTACTAGAAACCAAAAGACTAGATTATCGGTCAAAGGAAGCCTTCCGATCAAGATATTTCCTTGCTTTATCCTTAGAACCTCTTGTGGAAATCCATGGCCATTTGGGTAATTAGTAAACCCTCTCACCGCCCGACAAGCAAACGCCTTTTTCGGGTTTAACTGCAAATATTCACTGACGATAGAATTGGCACCATCACATCCAATCAAGACCTATGGGAGAAGAAAAACATTAGATTGTATAACCTATTGATATGCTTATAAATAAGATTTCAATAATTTGTTCACTTTTGCATTAGTGTTCACATTTTTCTCAAATAAAACCACAACTTTAAATATTTAAACATCAAAAATTATATTTTTAATTGTAAATGTAAACGTCACACACAAAAGAAAGGTTGTTCATTCCATTTGATATACAAAATTTGTTTTATATTTAAAATACACAAACAAAAAAAAAATGATTTCTTCAATAAATGCAAAATACAAATGTGATCTAAATAGACAATCATGAGACTTTACCTTGGCTTCGATGGTATTTCCATTGGTTAAGTGAACAACCGGAAACGACGTACTTTTGTCTTCCTCAATAGAAACAATTTGAGAACCGAACCGGATGGTTCCTTCCGGAAGAGCATCGGCTAAGGCCTCAACAAGATCGTTTCTTTTAATACAGCGAGCCTCGTCTCTGTTTCATTCCAAATATTAAATAATCAAATCAATACCAAAATTATTGATCATAAATGATCGAATTAAGGATGATAGTTAAGACATACACGAGGGTTGACACAAATTCTTGTTTTTTCCCATTTTCAATCAACATGGTCCGTGCTCTGTTCACATCCAAGAAAGATCCAAGTAAATATAAATTCTAATTCAAAATATGATCAATAATGAGTAGGACTATAAGAAAATAATCTTACTTGTGAATAAGACGAGAAGTGAGACGAAGACGATCACCGACGCCAAGTTGATCAAGAGCCCTCCAACCATTAGTGAGAGTTCCGATTCCAGCTCCTTCCGATCTCACTTTCTCTGCTCTCTCCAACACCACACTCTTTATCCCTTTCCTACATTATTTTAATATACACATAAAAAATTAAGTTACATATCTAATTCATAAAATCTGAGTTTCAGTACAAAGTAAATTAATGACAAACCTATGAAGAGCAAGGGAAGTGGCGAGACCAGCGATTCCGCCGCCGACAATAACTATGCCGATTTCTTCCATTTGATAGCTGATATTTTCAGATCTAAAGTTTTTTTTGTGTACTGGTTTTAAGTTGTGTGAATGTGTATATAGTATAGTTTTTTTATATATTTATAGAGAAGAGAAACAGCGAAGACTTTTCATTAAGACAATTAAATTACTTGGGAGACAATCAATTTACGTGAGTGTGGTGGGTCTTTCCGAGTCAAACATGTGCTCTTTGTTTATGAAGTAACTTGACCGTTGACGCAAGCCATGACGCCACTTACATTATGAACTCGTCTTTTGGATAAAACAACTAGACTAGTTGCATTCAATATCAATATGTGTACTCGTTGCAATGAGTGTGACTCAATACTTATCTTTTGTGGCTTTTTCTCGTATATTTCAAAATTTGTTAAAAAATTAATCTTCTACTTTTAAATTTTGATATATAAGAATAAAGATGGGATCATCAAAAACGGGAAACATCTTCGCCTTGGGCCCAAGATCGAACAATCGCTAACGAGATCATGCAATTCTGCTTTCCTCTTGATTAGTTTTCTATCTCTTTCATCAATTCATCTTCTACATTTTGAGTGGCCTATTGGAGAATTTGATATTTCTCTCTACCTTTCCTTTGGTGCAGTTTAGGTTCTAATGACTAGTAGACCTTAAGTCTTTAACTAGGTGAGCTTTTGTAAGAAAATGACGAACTTTTCTTGCTTCATTTGAATATAAATTTTTTATTAAAATATATCTACTTGAATCAAGATTGATGATTTACCTTTTTGATAACCAATAACTTGAAAGTTTGAGAAATGATTGAAAACTCATTGTTTCTTGTATTGGGGATTTCGTAATCTCTAGTCTTAATTATTAAAACTAATTAAAAATAAAATTTCTTAAAAGTAACTACTTATAATTGAGTAATTGACCCTCAAAAATATTAATCAATATAATGTTCAAACTTTATCCTTCTTACATAAATATTTTTAAGTTTTATAACCAGATATTTGATCATTTTTGGTAGAAAAACTTACATCCACAATTATTGGATGAAACATGTTTGTTAGAGAATAATTTTTTGCAGATGAAGATGCCCAATAATTTTTTTAATTATTTTTTTTATTGGACCTTTTGTCTTTCACAAGTGAGAAAGACTAATAATATCATGGTTCCAATAATCAAACATAAAAAGAGAAAAAAAAAACATAAAACATTCGCAAACAAAATGAGTAACCATCTTCCTGATATACAAACATCTCACGAAGCACACAATCTTTAGCATTTAGATCGTACGTACGCAAGATAAATTTAAAGACGGCCACAATCATATCGAGTATGACCAATTTGATCACGAAACAGAATCATCAACAAAACTACAAGCAAGAACTTCGTAACCGGCGAAGAAGCTTTGATTAAATTACCGGTAAGATATGTTTGCGTCGAAAGCCCCACGAGTCTCCCTCTTCTTTCCCTAATGTACTCATCAATCGCTTCTTCTATTTGCATCCTTGAAGAGGAGTAAGAGACATTATTCATACCGTCTTGACCTAAAGATAACTTCCTCCACAAGCATCTAGCCAAAACAACACCGTCCTCAAGTGCAGCCGAACATCCTTGTCCTATGAATGGACCCATTAGGTGCATACTGTCTCCGGCCACTGTCACAGTGCCACATCGGAATTTACCGGACAGAACATCCCAAGGAGCACGGTACCTTAAACGGTTGATATACAAAGAGTCCATATCACAGTTCTTCACCATCTCTTTCCACTCTTCAGAGAATTCGTGGACCGATGCTAGTGTCAATCTTGCGATATCCGCTTGATTTCTTAAAAAGCTTGAGTCTATTAATATAACAAATTCATCATATATACGTCAATGAGTTATATGAAAAAAATAGAAGTCTATACTCTTTCGTATGAATTGTACCATGAGCGGGTTATTAATTACCTTGGGGACAGTTAAGCAAAACAACAAACCAAAAGACGAGTTTGTGAGTAATAGGAATTCGTCCGCTTACGACGTTGTCCATCTTGATTCTTATAAACTCTTGCCGGAATCCATGGTCGTCCGGGTAATTTGTGAACCCTCTGACTGCCCGCGAACCGAGGTCTTTAGTCGGGTTTAGTCCTAGAAATCTAGAGACTACAGAATTTGATCCATCGCAGCCAATCAAAACCTATATTAAAAGAAAGTATAGTATATATCAAAAAATATAAGACCATGCATTTCATACTAAACATGTTGCTTTCAGAAAACATTTATAAAAAACAAATCCGCTCACGACCATAAACGTCACTGTCGGATAATATAAAGTATATACTAAAAATTTCCATTACGGCACTACTCAATAATTGATCAATATAAATGTATCTACTGTTGCTAAACGTGCCTTTGCTTTGATAGCTTCTCCGTTTTTAACGTGTACAATCGGAAACGATGTTGTTTCGTCGAGCTTAACCGACAAAATATGGCAACCAAGCCGGAGAGTGCCAAGAGGAAGAGCATGAGCCAAAGCTCGGACCAAATCGTTCCTTAGTACACCTCTTACTTCTCCATACGATGCCGGTCCAACCGATTCTCTTTGTTTAATCCCTTTCTCGATCAAAACATCTCTTATCCTGTTTTAGTACCATACCAGAATTCATTACCTTTATAACTAGAAATGGCTAGTTAAAATATAAATATTTATATACTTACTGATGAATTGGGAGAGAGTTAAGACGAAGTTTATCGGCGACACCGAGTTGTTGAAGAGCAAGCCAGCCATTAGTCTGAATACCAAATGCTGCTCCTTCCGATCTTACTGACTCTGCTCTCTCCAACACAATGCTCTTTATACCCTTCCTTTATAATCATATTTGTATATGTTTAATTTGTCATTAGTTCATGTATATGTTTTACGAGTTACTTACCATAAATTTGAGAAAGGGAGGATATTATAGTGAACCTGTGAAGAGCAAGGGAAGTTGCAAGACCAGCAATGCCTCCTCCCACGATTACTATGTCCAATTCTTCCATTCTTCTTTATCTTTCTTTTTATATTTATTTTCTCAAAAATTTATGATCTTTATATCCTGCGATGTTATGGACTTATATGTAGTGGTTGAAGCCACATGGCCTGTATAATGCATGCCGTGGTTGTATCTTCACCGGTCGTATTTTTCGTTATTTATACATATCATTCATAGCGAATTTAAAAATTAAATACTTATTGATATTTGTCAATTTATATCATTTGAGCGTTAGCGAAGCTAGATTCTCATAGCGAGGCGCTTCGAGTTAGCGAAGCGCTGTAGTAGCGCCGAAGCCCTATGTGCTATAATGCTGAGCATTTTTTTTAAACCTCAAACTACCAAAAGAACCTTTAAAAAAAAAGGGACGAAAAAATGCATCCAGCAAAGATTGTTACATCATGTTATGCTTCCCATTTAAACTTTTTTTCTTTTACCTTAAGGGAGTGAATTCTAGATTTTTTAATGTTTTGTTTAATGTTTTAACATTAATTGTGGCAATTTATAAAAATTAGAGAGTATTTTCAGGTATACAAAAAGATGGCTCTGAATTGTAAACCAAATGCAAAATCGGTCATGGCACAAACCTCTGCCTCAGTTTGTAGAGATGATGTTTCAAATATGCCAATCAATATGTTTGACGCGCGTTAGTCACAATAGATGAAGAAGTAGAGGTAAATGCACACAAAATAAGCATCGGTTCATGGTTTCTCTCGCAATTCCACATGACACAAGATCTTGAGTTACTAGGACCCCACATGTTAAGTATTGCATAGGTGGGAAGTCTGTCGGTACCCATATGAGAAATAAGTACTTTGAAATCGCTTCACATAACCAAACACCATCAAACCAAGGAACCAGAGGCGACTTCCAAGGGATACTTTTCAAAAATCTATCTTCTGCATGACACTGCAGGGGATTCACAAAATTTATATGGTTCTGAATATAGAATATAGAGATTCTTCGTTAGCGGCCAATTTTCTTCTTGCATATAATTTATGAAGCAAGCTTTGTTTAGTATAAACATTTAAATCGTTGATGATCAATTTCTAGGAAATAGAAGATACATATGCACTAAATAGAAAATCGTCAAGATTAGGTGATGCTTCTCTCTGACACTAAAGAAAAAGAAATGACTCAAAAATGAGTTTGAAAGAAAATGTGATTGCACCAAGGATCAATAACTCAATTGGTAACCAAGTGTCGTTAGCTCAACTAGTAAAGACCCTAAACAAAGCTTAGAGGTCGCCGGTTCGAGTGATGCTTGATGTGGATGTAGGATTCACACTCGATTGTCTTTAAGTATATTTGTGGAGAAAAACTCTAAAATCAACAGATAAAAATATGGAATTGAAAAGGGAAGTAACCAAGAAACTAAGTAAAGCGAATGAACTTTGGAAAGAATAAAATAGTAAAAAGCCTTGCAAAATTGTAAAAGAAAAAGTATGTTGTATTGCTTGATCGTAAGAGGAAAAAGTTGTTCTCCTTCAAACACATGCGTTTGAGGTTGTTTTTATAGAGAAAACATGATCAATGCGGTCATTTACTGCTCATATTTGCATTGATCCGCATTAATCATGTACTCCCTCCGTTTCATAATATAAGTCGTTTTGGAGAAAAAATTTTGTCTCATAATATAAGTCGTTTTCAAGTTTCTATGCATTTTATATATTACTTTAATATTTTATAATTATTTATATTATGCAGTCTCTTTTATGATTGGTTGAACTTATTAAAAGTAGATCTTCTTAATCTGCGTGTTTAAAGCTAAAACGACTTATATTATGAAACGGAGGGAGTAGGTTACAATTTGACCGAAACGGCTTGAATTTGAACTATCTTGGGCTTCGCGTGGATCTTCCGAACTCTTTCTTGTTGACTCCGAACTCCTGCGTCTTGACGCTGCCGCGAACCTCGAACAATATTCTCCTCGCTTCGGCCTTCCTTTATGCGAACTGTATGTTGAATAAGAGCGAACTGCGTACTGGTAAAGATCGAGCTCTTTAATAAACTGAATCGAACTTCCGACAGGTCGAGCTCGATTCTCGCAATGAAACATCTAGAAATCCAAGAGGATTATTATGTAATAATGACGTGGACAGATCCAAGTGGATCCTACCAAAGATGTGTGGGATCCGACCCCAACATTTAGCCCCCAAAGTCTTGCGAGCTGAGTGCTCGGCTTGGAAGACTTAAGTAAACTGTAATTAATGACTCGAGATCTTTAATATTCCAGAATTATTCCATGTTTTTCGCTATTACGCTGATCTCGGATAATCAGATGATTTGATTTTCCTGACAACCGT